TCTTAAAAAAAAAAAAAAAAGCAAGAATTTCACCTATGCAGAAGTAGTCTAGGGAAGAGCAAAGATGGCCAGAACTTGCAGGTTTATTTTTGCTTTTTGTATCATTCAAACAAAATACCAATGAATTATTATCGAAAGGGAGGTAGAAAGAAACAGGTTTTCAGAATTATTTTATTTAAGGAAGAATGATTGACTTTTGTAAAGGAATTATGTAATACCCACTATTTTTATCCCTGTTCTGTTAATGAGTCAATTCAGAGATAGTTTATTGTTTGGGCCTATAAAATTCACTAAATCTGGTTACCATCAACAGTAATTACTATTCTTGGCCTTGTGGTGGCTTCTCTTCCAGTTGTGTTCAGAGTTCCCGTTGGTGGTTTGCTGGGCCTTCAGCGGTGTGCTGGAAGCCATTGCTCACACTGATTGTCCTTTCACCTTAGTGCTGATTCACTCGTAGTTCATTTCCTAACTCTGCATTTCACAAGCACCTACACACTTGAAAATGTGTTAGCAAAGCCGTACATAGCTACATGAAAAAGGGGCGGAGGAAAATTAAGGTCAGGTCCTAAGGTCTAGTATTTATTGAATCCTTCACCTGAGTCAACCCCAAATGATGACCAAATAAAACTGACATTATGTATCTCTCTTATTATAATACTATAATGTGTAAAGTCATAGAATACTGTTAACCAACTCAAGTATTAGCGGCAAATATTCAGTATTGAACTCTTTATAAAAATGTCCCTCTGAGAAGGCATAAAGGGATTTAATTCTAGTATTTTAGTTCTTTGGGGAATTGAATGTTATATTCTGTGGGAGCCTAACTCTGTTTAGGTTCTGTTAAGCAATGAAACTTTTAGTAAGAAAAGAACAAGTTAGTTTTGTCTGTATACGCCTTCTGAATGACTTGTGAAATTGCTTTCAGGCCTCAGTATGTGATATTAATGATATAAGAAGAAGAATGTTTCCACTGAGCTCTTGAGCCTGGACTCTGGATGTCTTGCTTTATTTTTGTGAGATTTTTATTGAGGTATCATGCATATAAAGTGCACCAATTACACATGCAACTCAATTTTCACAAAGTGAACCCATCTGGATAGCTAGCACTAAACAAAACCATATTGTCACATCCTTGAGGACCCCCTTTCATGTACCAGGAAATCTTCAGACATTCACTCCCCCACTCCATGTACCAGGAGATCTTCATCCTGAGAAGATCTCATATCATTGTCTAATAGTTCAACTTTAACAGGGAAAATTTAGGTTAATGAACACTTACAAACTGTAATGTTGTAGTATAGTGTACGTCAGAGGTGTGGTAAATCTTGCAAACAAATAATAGACCTTTTTCTTCTTGGTAGATTGTGAAACATCCTAGACTCCTCTAGGAGTGTTCTCCAAATCTGTAGTTGCACACTCTTCAACAAAGGCTTTAGGGAAAATGCCAACTTTCCCTTTACACTCCCCTTCCAACCATTCTTCATTCACTAAAAAAAAGGGAAAGTACATATCAGTTACTAAATCCAGAGGAGGAAAATTACTCCCTTCAGGTATTCCATGCTTATCTTTTGTCAGTAACCCCTCCCCCACATTGTGGTAACGGAGAAGGCGGTGTTGGAAAGGGATTTGATGTTAGAGTGAACATAGGTTTTAGCATCTCAATGATTTTTTTGTCTTAAACATGATAAAGGGTAAAAGAAGAATGAGTTGAATTTTTTTAAGTATTTTTTGTTGTAGATGGACACAACATCTTTACGTGGTGCTGAGGATTGAACCCAGTGCCTCATACGTGCAAGGCAAGTGTTCCACCACTGAGCTACAGCCCAAGCCCTGAATTCTATTTTTCAAGAAGTTACCAGATAGAGAAATAAGGTGAAAGAAATGGACCATCTGAGCTTTGCTGGGAATGTTCATTTTGATGACAGAAAAGGGGGCATGCCATTGGTTAAATATATTAAAAATGAAAGTTTCCAATACAGAGTTCATCAAAACATTAGGAGTTAGAACTAGTGATAGTTTAGTACATTTTATAAAATATAAGAATTTTGACATATTATGTCCCATTGTCATATATGGAATTCCTATAAAACAAATTGAGCAACAAATATGCCACTTACAGTAACTTTCAAATAAACTTTTTTACCATTCTTTTATTAATGATGATGAGTTATATGATGAACTCCTGATTATGATTTCCAAACTTAGTGCAACTATGTCAATTTCATTGAAATAATTGTAGAATTGGAAACTTGGGACTTAATGGGTTCATAGCCCCTTTCTTGAGCCTTTAATGAAAAAATAGATGTATGAGGGTGTACGCTCAGACTTAATAATTACTCAAGTTTATCTTTTACCCCATTTTGCTAAGGAAAAGGAGGCCCAGAGATTATTCAGAGCCATTCTACCAGTAAATGTTAGATGACTTGGGTATAACCTCCAAAGCCCACCTATCAACCACACAAGCCACTCAGAATTCATCTTTGAGTGAGTGTAAGACAGAGCTCAACTGCATGGATCCTGCCCTCAAGAGATTCTGTAATTAGGGTGGAGTGTGGTTGAGTGTCAGTTTTTCCAAGAGTACCCTCAGGTGGTTTCTTAAACCAGTTAGACGTGTACATATCGGAGTAGGAAGTACATTGCCTTCTCTTCCCAGGGTTTTCTTGCATATGTATGGTTTGGGCTTTTGTGGTACTGGAGATGAGTCCTAGGGCTCCTGCATGCACGGGCTAGGCAAGTGCTCTTCCACTGAGCTACATCCTCACCCTGCATGTTCTCTCATTTTT